AAGTTTGTATGTTGTATGTGTGCGTACAAACATGCATACATATACAACATATACGTAATGTATGGCTGATGTTCATATTGTTTTATGTTATATAATATGTATGTTTTTGTATGTTTTGGTATATTTTGTATGTTTTTGTATATTTTGTATGTTTTGTATACATACGCGTGGGAGGGTCTGGATGAGTCGTCAGTTGCATATTTATTAGTTTTTTTTTGTTGCACATAAAAACTTTATCAATTTTTTCCTCCATTTTGTTTATTTAGATTTTAATTAAATTTTTTTCTGAGAAAATTATTATTATTAAATTATTTATCGGCTAATTTGTTACTATGTATGTATGTATGTGTGTTTATGTGTGTGTTTGTTTGTTTGTACATATGTACGTGTATGTGCTTGCGCGTGTGTGTATATATATATATATATATATATATATATATGTGTGTGTGTGTGTGTGTGTGTGTGTGTGTGTGCGTGCGCGTGTGTGTATATATATATGTGTGTATGTGTGTACACTGTCATCCACCCACCTACATTCCTTTAAATAACATTGTCTTAGGCAATAGTTTTGGCTAGGATTCGGTTATTTTTTTTACTTTCCAGAAAATATTTGAAATTTTCCTGTGGCTGATAATAATAATAATAATAATTATTATTATTATTATTATTATAACAACAACTATAACAATAATAATAAACTGAACTATAAAAACGTTTAATTTATAATAGACACAAATACTAGTTATCAATTTATATAACCACACAGATACATGTAAACACACAAACACACACACACACAAACATACGAACACGCATACACACACTCATACATACATACAAACATACATACATGCATACACACATACATACAAACATGCATACATATATACATACATACACACATACAAACATACATGCATACACACATACATACAAGCATACATACGAACACGCATTCACACACTCATACATACATACAAACATACATACATACAAGCATACATTCAAACAAACCAACCAACATACAAACAAACCAACAAACAAACAAACATAGACACATATGGGGGAAAATAAAATTTATAGTTAATCTTCTCTCTTTTAGTGGTGGAACGCCTCTTTCAGATACTCGCTAATATCGTTATCTCCTTCGTCTCTATGTGTATGTGTGTATCTGTTTGTTTGTTTGTGTGTGTGTGTGTTTATTTATGTTTGTATGTTTGTGTTTGTATGTGTGTATCTGTTTGTGTGTGTGTATTAATTTATGTTTGTAAGTTTGTCCCTTTGGTTTTTTAGCCGAAATAGACAAAGGAAGAAACAATTGATCAGCCCAGCAGATAAACAGTATTGAAAAAATAAATATAAACAAATGAATGATTGAGCAAAAGATGATCAAATTCATAATAAAAAATGAATGAATGAATGAATGAATGAATGAATGATGGAGGAATGAATGAAGGAATGAATGAACGAATGAACGAAGAAGCAAACCAGAAAAAATGAAAACAATTTCATTAGCTTAATAAATTCATTGATTGAGTTTTAAAAATTATTCATTGAGGGCACCATTCATCATTGTCCACCCGTCAAATATTTCCTTCGACTGCCCTTTTTCTTATTGGTCAGTTTGCTGATTGCATGTACGAGCGATTGATTGATTGAAATGAATGTAAATGAATGAATGAATGAACAAGTTGAAGAGGGAATGAATGAATGAAAAAATGTGGATAATAAACAAAAAAATGAATAAATAACAGAATGAAGGTAGAAATAGAAAAAGAAACAAAGAATGAATGAATGAAAAAATGAAAGAATGAATGAAGAAACCGGCACGCTTAAGTGCACAATTCATTACTTCGTTTGTCGTGTCTTATCAGCGCCGATGATTAAAATTGTGGTGAGGGCCTTGGTTGGACTAGATGATGACGAAGATGATGACGAAGATGATGATGAAGATGATGAGACTTAGATGATGACGAAGATGATGATGACGACGACGATGAGGATGACGTAACGGCTGTGATGAAAGTAGTTACTTAGCTGATATATAGTGGACAGATGCTAACCAATTGAATCATTCATTCTCTCGTCAGTCACTCTCCTCTCTTTAACACATTAACGCGTCTGCATGCAAGTAAGTGTTGGCAAGTGTTTCTGTATTGTATATCTATTATTATTATTATTATTATTGTTATTATTGTTATTATTATTGTTATTATTATTATTGTTATTAACATTATTATTATTATTATAACTTTTATGTTATTCACTCTATTGACAATCCTCAGAGGATTGCACAGTGATTAAATGCTTTGTTGAACAAATAACTTTTTAACTCTCTTCTGAAATCTTTTTCCTGGAACGATTCTTTCTCTTCAACCGATTCGTTACATTCTAAGTGCAATTTTTCCTTTTAATCCGATAGTTTTAATGATTTTTATGTTATTACATAAATATGTTTTATTTAACATTTTAGATTTAATTTACAGATTTATTTAATCGTTGCAAAAATATACTTTAGGCAGCTTATTTATTTATTGATATTTCTATTGGATTTTTATCTTTTATTTATGAAAGTACTAATCATCTTAGCGCAATCCTACACGGCGTTGTTAAAACTACTTTTTAAATTCAAGAAGATTGAATTGCTATGGTTGATAAGCTGGTTGGTTGGTTGGTTTATTGGTTGGTTGGTTACTAAATTGCTTGATATCTTGTGTTGGCCAGTTGTTTGGTTTATCGGTTGAAAAATTCAAAATTCAAATGATTGATTGGATGGTTGGTCGGTTGGTTGGTTGGTTGGTTGATAAACTGATTGACCGATGTAAGACCACATCAAATAAATCTCTATCCTCTCGAGATATCCAAACAGCCTCTACAGGCATCAATCATTTTTTCATTCAGATTTATTTGTGCCAGTACGAACACCAAAGAACTGCTTTTATAAAAAAGAAGGTAATAAATATTTATATATGTGAAACTTCAGACTAAAATTAATTGCACTGTCGTGTTCTTATAATAAGATTTACTTGAAACCACTATACTTATAGTACTATAGCTCAATTACTAAAGTAAAATATTTTGTCAGTTAATATAAATGAAAACTAATAGTTAATTTGCATAAATTTGTATAATTATTTAATAAAAATATTTTTAGATTATCAATTTAGCTGATTAATCACACAACCTTATATATAGATATATTCTATGTATATGCATACAACTGATTTATTATAAAAAACGCAATATAATATAACCTAGCTCATCTCTGCACCTTTAAAAGTTTCATTAAAATCCTTTTCGCTTTTAATCATAGTTCCTGTATTAGTTTTTGATCTAAAATCTCTTCAAGTTGCGCATTTTATAAGATGTAATCATTTGCTCTAATTTATGCATTAAACACTAATTTTTATTTACTAGTTTTGATATTTTTTTACTTGAAATATTTAAATAAGTTAGTACACTCGTTTTAATTTCCGGATATTTGGATCATGATGGCAGACAACAGGTAAGTTGTTGTGGGGACAAACAAACTTGCATTTATTATATGTTTTGTGATGTGCTGTTATTTGCTTTTTCAAAATTTTTTCATCACTCACATTTATTTATTTAATTGATTTATACTTCCTGCTTAGTTGGATGTCTGCATTTTGATTTGATTGAAATTTATAAAACTTTACTACCTAATTTTGAAAATTAAATAAATAAATTATATAATATTATATTCATATTGTTTTTTCAAATCTACCACAACCAACAGTGAGAAGGCAATTGCTTCTATACAAGCACTGGTGATGATATATGACAACGCCCAGAAAGCATGGGGCCTGGCAGGATCGTCGGAGGGGAACTCCAAGGTTCAGATATTCTACCATCCTACTCATCAGACTTACAGAGTTGTTGCTAGGAAGATTGTCGACCACGAGGTTTCATCAGTTTACATTATTTTGTCATTTGTTAAAATTTAATTAATACGACATATTCATATAATTATAATTAACATATAATTATCATATAATATAATATAACATTTGAAATTCACTCAACTAACTAACAAGCTCACTGATCAATCAATCACTGAATGGCAGATAGTGATAAACGCTGCAATCCTGAAGAACATAAAGTACAATCGAGCCACCGAAACCTTCCACCAATGGAGGGACAGGCAGACTGTGTACGGGCTGAACTTTATGTCGGCTGATGATGCCAATGATTTTGGAATGGCTATGGAGGGGGTTCTCTTTGCTTTAAACAGTTTGTTTCCTTCTTGTTTTTGGATTAGGCTGATTTTTTTTAATGAGTGCTATCTCAAAATGACACCAGTTTACATAATGAATTGTCGAATGTTGTGTTATTATGGTTGCTGGCATCAGTTTAATAACCACTTTAAATAATAAATTGTTAGTTAATTAAATTGAGTTAATTAAGAAAAAAAAGGTAATGATTATTTTATTAAGATTTATCTTATTCTTGAACTCGTTTTCTATTTTAAAAATAGATGCTCCCCAGACTCCAGTGGTGAACCAACCGACACCCAACTCCGTTCCTAACTTGAAACCATTCACTAACAGCAATGCATACCAAGATGATGATGGCGGTCGGTCCAACGATATCAATGGCTCCACAAGGTTGGTTTGTTGTTGTTGTTGTCTGGCTGTGTTTCTTAGTTCCCATGTCATGTCAGTCAACAATCCATTGGCTTATTAACCATTCAATCACCCACCAATATCTAACCAGAAACATATACGGAAGAGCAGCCCAAGCACCAGCATTTGGCACCATCTCCAAACCTTCATCCACAGCACCAGCTCGGCCACAACAAGCTGCGCCACAACCACCATCACACGCGCCTCCGCAACCGCCCCCACAGCCACCAGCGCAGTCACCACCACAGCCACCGCCACAACCTACGTCAATGCAAGCGCCAACACCACCTCAACCTGCTCAGACATCACCGGTACCTCAACCACCACCCATGACTGGAGGGGGCGGTCCACCACCTCCACCTCCTCCACCACCCCCTCCACCACCTGGACCTTCGAGTGCTTCCGGGGGCGATAGCGGCGGCGATGGTGGTGGTGGTGGTCTGGCAGCAGCTATTGCTGGGGCCAAGTTGAAGAAAGTTTCAAAGGTTTTTTAGAATTTTGCAATTTCATACAAATCTTGTCATGGCACATATATGATGTATGTATACATGTATGTTACTCTGGAGACACAAAA